TGGGATGAATTCCTGGGATGAATTCCTGGGATGAATTCCTGGGGTCACCATCCCTCAGGGTGAGMACACACTGACCAYRGMACAGAGCAGCTTCCAGGTGGGAATCCACAGGGAAACACAAATCATGGGGAAGGAGGGAGGGAAGAGATGGAGGAGGGAGAGAAATCCAGCCCAAACCCATTCCCACAGGAGCACTGTGACCACAGTGACCACAGTGACCACGGGGAGCCCTTCCCTGTCCCCTGGCCAGCACAGCCAACCAGGCTGGAATCTCACCACCCTCCATCTCCCAGCCCCCACTGCTCAACCTGCCTCAGTCCCAGCCAAAATTCACAACAAACCACATTTGTCAGCCTTGAAAAGCAGCCTGTAAATTGTTCCCAGCCCACCCTGAATCGATCTCCAGCTGAGAATGACCACTCTTCTTTGCTGACCTCCTGTCTGATCCCCAGCAAGTCTCTGCCTCTTCCCACCCCAAAACACTCAGAAATCTCCTGAATTTCTGCTCACTTGACAGAGAATGCCCAGCTGAGGGTTAACATTAATAAAAAAGCCTCCGATGACATTGTTAGAGAGTGAAAATAAAAATGAACGTAAGCCAGGAGAAGAAAAATCGTATTTTTTACGTCCTAAAGCAGAGGAAGGCAAGGGGTGGGAGGAWAAAGCCTCAGGGCATCCTGATCAAACCCCAGCCTGGCAGGAGCCCAGGGCTCTCCTCCTGCTCTCAGGGCTTTGGAGACACYCTGCAATTCCAGCCAGGAAACCTTTGCAAGTTTGGTAACATAAATAAACTGCAAAAATGTTACTGAGAATTAGAGACACATGGGGGAAAGGGGAGAACAGGTTCCTGAGGTTGTACAGGAATTATTATCTAAAGGCTTCTCTTCATTAAATATTAAATGAATATCAAGAAAAACYCATTCTGAATAAAGGACTTTAAGCTAAATATAATACTAAAATTTTTACTTTTCTGCTCTCTGAGATTAAATAAAGCAGAAGAACCCCAATGACTCCTGGTAATGACACTGAGCTTAGAAAAACTCTGCACAGGGACACCTCCCCCTGTCCCAGGCTGCTCCAGGCACCCTGTGCCAAAAATTTATACATTTTCAAAAATATAAACCCTCAAACTGAAGCCATGAGCCGAACTGTCAGAGAATGGATGAAACCACGACCCAGAACAGGGCCCAACTTACCCTGAAGGCAGTTCCTTCCTCGATAATGGTGGGTAACTGGGAAAGGCAAATGTCAACAGCCAGGTCCCAGGCTTGCCTGGAGAGAGGGAACAGAAGGCATTACAAATTATCCATAAGGAACAGAAGGGAAAGTGAAATTCTGACCATACAGGGATGTGGATGGTGCTGTCTGACTGGCCCAGAAGTGCTTGATATCCCATTTTCAGGGAGAAATGGGCAAAACACCCAAAAAATTCTCTGCAGCACTGCAGTATCAACCCACAGGGCCTTTGAGGTGATGTTTTACTACGCAGAAGGAGAATGGTTTAGAGATCAGAGACAACTGCTCTGATTTTGGCTGCYCACAAAAGGATTCTGTGGGTCACTCACTGCAGCAGCACACACAGAAGATGCTGAGCTCTTCACAGCAATTTTAGGTAAGCAGCACTAATACTGCTACAAAAATGTCCAAAGCAGCCCTGCGAGGTCAGATCTCAAAGGGTTTAAGTGTTATCAGAAAGAACAAACAAAAAAATGTAAAGAGATTTGAGTAGATTAAAAGGAAATCTCTTT